CCTCCCACCAGCATTCCCTCTGCCCTATCTAGAGTTCATCTAATCCTCCCATGTTCTCCTTCCCTACCCCATTATGAGTCACCCCTCTTATATCAGAGAAAACATTCAGCATTTGTTTTGGGGGATTGGCTAACTCCAAACATAAGTCCCTTTCACACAGACCTTTCATGCTTCTCCTTGTGGGCTTCTTTCCCAAGAAAATCCATGTGTCCTTAGTGCTCCATCTTAAAATAACCAGTTTCCATTTATCCTGGGTCCCCTTCAACTACCTCACCTCTATCCATTCCTTGATAGCCAAGCTTTCAAAAGCAACAATAACAACAACAAAAAACAAAACAACACCCCATCCCCCAAAACAACAACAATAACAACAACAACAACAACAAAAAAAAAACCAGGACCATACATCTTTTTCAAAGTATGTTTTCTTCACATATGGCCATATAAAACCACACAAAGAGATATCCATGATCAAAAAACAACTCTGCATATTAATGCATAAATTTGACCCAACACTCACATTGGACAAAATGTTAGACTACTAATCTGAAGTTGTTTTTATTTATTTATTTAGGGGTGCCTGGGTTAAAACCCAGTGCCTTGCACATGCTAGGCAAGTACTCTACCATGGAACTATATCCCCAGTATAGAAGTTTTATTTTTAGATATACACATATCAACATTTGCATGATGTAATGAAAAATTCACACACTTTGAAATGTGATATACTTGAGTCCAATCTTACTTCATTACTGTTGTTATTAGAATCTATAAGCTAAGTGACTTATTGATAAAAAGTTATTGAAAGTCTCTGATCCTCAGTTATCTTGCACGGATAGCAGGCCTTGCCTAGGTAGCAGGGCCAACTTTGCATACATATTTCTGTGAGAAGGAAATGAGATGATGGTAGTAAAATGTCTTGCACACCACAAGGTTTCCAGTAGGAATTCAAATACGGCCCACACATAGTGACCAATTACCATTTCTGGATAATCAAATATTGTAGAACTTCACTTCAGACATATTAATGGTTAATATTTAACACAACAGTCTTCACAAATCTAGACTTTCCTTGAATTTGGTTAATCGGAATATCAACCACCACACAACTCTAAGACTGGGGCAAGAAATAGCCTAAGTCCTACTTTTGGAACATCTTCCTAATGGCAATGTTCTGAAAAATCAACTGGTTTTCATCATGAATTAGAAGCCCAGAAATGCTGAAATAGAAAACTATAAGACTGATATTTTTAAAAAAATCTATTTGAAGACATTAGAGAGTTACCAAGGAAGTGAAGGCTTCATCAACCTAGATCTAGGAAGGAAAACCCAGCAGAGCAAAGCTGCCATTGCTTGCCTCTGCTTTCCCTCTGAAGGCATGAACCCATTCTAAAGCAGCAGCTGAGAGCTGAGAAGATGGAAAAGCTTCTGGCCATCTCACAGAACTGAGGGGACGAAAGGTAGGATCTGAGTTTTGCCATGGAAGAAGAACCCCAGTGAAATCCCCTGGCTTAAAGTTGAGACCCTTAAAGAGCAGAGCCCTATGAATAAGAATTGACATGAAATAGAGGAGCCCTTAGGAAGCCCAGCTTTGAATCAGCCCAATACCTGATTGCATCAGAGTGATCTCTTTTGTATCTTAAGTGCTTGTCAGAATAAAAGAAAACCTGTTCTTGTGGAAGGAAACAGCATTCAAAGCTTCAAATTCTAAAACCTTTCATATATAATATTTGGCATTGGCAAGCAAAAGTATAAGAAGAAAGCAGAAAAGGCAGGAAAAGAAATTTACAAGGTGTTTGGATAATGGAGTTACCAGACAAGAATCAGGAAAAATGCTTTTGGTTTAATCAGTACACAAAGGATATTGCTAAATTAATTGTGGTAACTATGATAATTTTCTGGAAAAAAAAACTTGAAAATTTACATCTTAAAGCAAACACCTTCTCCACTTAAAAGGTTCAATGAAAATGATGTTGAGGTTTTAAGAATTATGATCAGATTGGGAAGGATTGAACAATAACTTTGGGTACTTTCTTTTTCAACTGATGGCATAATACACTTATATAGATAAATAGATTTTAATCTTTTTCTTGAACATCAAAAGCATTGTTTTTATTCCAAAATCCATCATAATTTATCCTATGTAACTCATTATTTAACTTCTATATGCAATAGCAGATTCCACCTGGAGTATGAATATGTTTAATTTTTTACATACAAGCATCATAGAATAGATTTTCTGATAACAAAATACAACTAGTTTGACTATAATGAACTAACATAATTGTCTCTTTCTCAATTGCTCCATTAGTTCATTCATTAGGTGCTATTAGAGTCACCATTAGACAAGGAATGAATTCTCATTATCACAACTAAATAAATTTGAGTTTGACTTAAGTACAGGAAGAGATCATATTATGATTTCTTTACTTTCAAAGGAAAAAAACCCTCAATAGATTATATTAAAAAAGCAGGATATATTTTCAGTGTGATGTAATTTAAAGATAATTGTAGAAATAAGTAACTTAATGGAGATGCCAAATTCGTCTCAGCTATGTTAATGATGTGGACAATGTTTAGGGGAAAAAGTCTATCTTCCAAAACCACTAACAGCTTGGGAGTGGTTGAGTGCTTTACTGGCTATCTGCCATCTTTTGGGATGTCTTCTGTTAAATATGAATATTTTATCCATTTACTTCTGCAAATGAAATTTATCAATAGCACTTAGGTTTTTATTTTTTCCTAGAACTGAATTAAATTCTACTCCAAATTCTTTCATGGAAGAAAGCTTGGGACACGGTGATACATAGAGACTTTTGACTCCAAATTAATTCAAATAAACAGAGGCAGGAAGGTAAATAGTGCTATTAGTAGATGAGAGCTTCAGTATGTCATTCCTAACTGCAATTATTTACTATTAAAGAGTGTAAAATTTCTCTCCAATAAACCATAATTAGCAGAGAAATATGCAAGTTCTGCTCAGAGAAAACTCATGGCTCCAAAGCCAGTGGGATCTGCCTATAAACTAACTCTACTAATGTACCTAAATAATATGTGCACGGAAAAGAGTCAGCAAAAGGGGGTGTGAAAAATGAAGCCTTAATAGGCAAATTTTGGCAATAGCCAAATAGGCTAGTTCAGAGGAGCACATGGGAACTTGATAGTTTTAGAATAAGATTATATATTCTTAAAGTATATTCAAGTTGTTAAGTTCTCTTCACAACATAGAACAGCTTTAAATTTGTCCCGAGGTTCAGAGAAGTTAAGTAAATTACTCTAAGTTAGTTATTCACCCTTGAGTGGTACAGTCTGGATTCAGAACTGTGAATCTAACAAACAAATAACCAACACCAGAAGGCTACCCATGCCCACTTTCTGTAGTGGACTCACTATTGAAAATATGAAAAGAGTAAAAATATGAAAATATGAAAATATGAAAAGAGTAAAATTTTTTTAAAAATCCACCTGTTCTAAGGAAACTTCAACATACAGACAAACAAAATTAGATTTCTGTTAAAGATACATATGTAGTTACAATCCAGGTGGCCCATTTTGTTCCTTCCCACCTAAAGATTCAAATCCTTATTGGGTAAGGTTCAAAATAAAAGACAGAATAGTTGAAAAGACAATCCAAACACTTTGGGATACTTTTGAAGAGGCAGCAAATTCAACTGGGTGGAGTAAGGATGGGAAGGAGGTATCTCAGTTCATTTCAGCTGCTATAACCAAATGTCATTAACTGGGTGATAATAAACCACCACGATTTCTTTCTCACAGTTTTGGAGGTTGGGAAGTCCATGCTGAAGGAATCCGCAGATTCAGAGTCTGGGCAAGTGCTGGCTTCCTCACTGAGTCTTTTCACTAAGTCCCACACACAGAGAAAGGGGGGGGGGTATCACTCTTGAGCCTCTTGTATAGGGCACTAATCCAATTCATCAAGGCACTGGCCTAGTCACCTCACAAACCCTCACTTGGTGGTGAGGGTTTCAATATGTGACTTTAGGGCAACACAAACATTAAGGCCATAGTAGGAGGGAGAAGGGTTTCTCTCTCTACACAATCAAAACTCATCCCCTTTAGATATCGTTCTCCTCAGAGTCCACTCATTGTAGCAGTTACTTAGTCATTCACTCAGCAAATATTTATGGAGCATTTATCATGACCCAGGCACCCAGTCTCTCCTTTGTCTTCCCCTTAAACCATATCCTAATTCTCCCTCACTGCAGGCACACTCCACCAGTGAAAGCTTCTTACCATTTCTAGTGTGTAACCTACTTAGTCTCTTTACCTTCTTCCAATTCCATCTTGAACATAGCAGAAGACTCCCAAGAGCCCAACAGTGCAAACAGGGAATTTTCCTGAGTGATGGGGAAGGTGGAAAAACTATAGAAACATAAAGCTTGTCTGCCTGTCTGTTCTGCCAGATTGAAAGGCATCCTTCCCTCCTGCATTCTCAAACCATTCCTTTGAGAGATGAACTATGAGCAGATAACTGAAATTGGCAATAACTGCCAAAAACAGAAAATGTTTTACCCTGAAACATGGAACTCTTTACAGAAAAGTAGATTTAAAAATAATCATTGGAAAAGTATTGGTTTCTATAAGTTTGGGGATTATTATAAAGAACACTATTAGAGTATAGATTTAAATTCTTATGGTTTTCTGCAAATATTTTTTCAAATTATTTTCATAAATATTACTATTTAAATTAATATGATTTTCAAAATTCTATTTTTTATTGTGTTATGTTTGCAAAGTTAAAAAGATGTTATAGTGGTTCTCTATTTATTCCAAATTTTCATCTACCTCTATCTGATTAATTACTATCCACCTTTTTTCAACATCCTTCTTTTTCAACATCTATTTCAGGGAAATTTATCAAGTAGAATGCTCTTTTATTATGCTCTTTTATTTATTCAATTTCAGGAGAACTTCTCTTAGATTATATTTTGGGGCCAAAAGCAAGCATTCCTGTGGTTAGATATCTAGGTCTACCTTACCTGTCAAATAGTTCTCCTCCTGTGACGAGTTCTAGGACCAGACTGATTTCTGCAGGAGTTTCAAATATTTCTTTAAGTTTTATCTGGGGAAAGATATACACATATGTCAATGATTTCACAAGTTCTTTATTTTAATCTTCCTTGAAACTATCTAAGATTATGGCTAAAATAACATTCTCTCCAATAAGTAGTATTGGATCATTGTTAGTAAAAGTCCCTCTTTCTAGTATCAGGTAGATATTTGTCACTCTCCTTTTGGGTTGTTGATTTTGTCAGTTACATCATCTTTTTCAAAGGTTCTATTAAGTTTTGACACTTTTCATTTTGGCAGTTGAAGAATAACTGCCTGAATTTTGCTAAAATATTCCAACTTCTGAATATCATTAGAATCAAAAATAAAACCCAATTTCCTATATCAGTTGGATAACATCATGGTTGCTAGAGATGTAAAATGCTTCTTTCTCTTGGAAAGAAAGGACTCTGAATTAGGGGCCTGAGTCAGCATAGAACCCATTAAAGCCTGTATGTGAATAATATCCTCAACAGCTTAACAGTTGCTAGTAGGCAAAGGAGGTCCTTAAGAATGAGTGGTGGGCCAGGCACGGTGGCGCACACCTATAATCCTAGCAGCTCAGGAGGCTGAGATAAGAGAATTGCAAGTTCAAAGCCAGCCTCAGCCATGGCCAGGTGAGGTGCTAAGCAACTCAGTGAGACCCTGTCTCTAAATAAAATACAAAATAGGGCTGGGAATGTGGCCCAGTGGTCAAGTGTCCCTGACTTCAATACCCAGTACAAAAAAAAAAAAAAAAAAAGAATGAGTGGTGGTAAAGATTTCATGGACCACACCAGTATTTTCATTACATTCAGATAATCCAAACTGCTTTTTCTGTTTTTCTACATACATCTGAGAATCTAGTGTCCAGTACTGATCCACATTTGAAGAAAATTCCACATTGGCCTCTCTTTGAAGAGAAAAGAGAAACTATAAAAGTAGTGATTGGGTATGGCAGATTTTTATATTGCTTTCCCAAAGCCCCTTTCCCCCTACTTTATTGCAAACAGAACCCTGATTTTGTTCAGGAAAGCAGGATGCCTAGGCTTCCTTGAATAAGATCATGATTTTGTTCTGTTTTGTGGATCACAACTGGTCTAAATGATTTGTGACAATCCCATTTCCAGTCTAATAGCATCCATGATTTTGTGACAGCTTTAGCCAAGAAAATTTGAAAAGAATTCTGCTATACCAGTTCCTGAGAAAACTTTTCTCATCTGACTCAGTTGGTGAGACCTTCTCCCTTGAATACAAACCTGAGGACTTGTGAAAACTGTGCAGCCATCAATTTGGGACCATGAAGGGAAAGCATGAAGGTGAAAGTCAATGCACAGAGGAGGGTAAGACCAAGCATGGGTGGCTTCTGGGTCCTGGACGGTGTCAGTGAGGTGAATCAATGCTGAAAACTTTCTTACTTCTGATTATTTGTTTTAATTGTTTTTGATTTTTAGTTGTAGATGGACACAATACCTTTATTTAATTAATTTCTTTTTATGTGGTGCTGAGGATTGAATCCAGTGCCTCACATGTTAGGCAAGTGCTCTACCACTGAGCTACAACGCCAGCTCCTGACTTCTGATTCTTATGAGAAAAGCATTTGCTGATTTGTGGCTAAATGCATTCCTAACTCAGACATTAAGTTGTAAGCACTTTGCTTTGAGCCTCAGCATTGCAGTTCATCCCCTCAGAGAGCACAAATTTCTCAGAGAAGTGGGCAAAATACATTTTTTTAAAGTAGATGGCTTAATTTATAAAAACAAGTTATGGCCTAGAAAGTGATTTTGTTCTTTTTCACTTCATTGGTTCAAGAAAGCTTTTCACTAGGCATTTCTCTCAGAGGCTTTGTCTGGACATAGATGGAAGCAGAGATTCTGAGGACATTTTATTTTCCCCATTCAAGTACATCATCTATTTGCATCTTCACATTGTTTCTGAAACAGATACTCTCTCAAAGGAGACAGAAAGGACTCTTGAAAGCAATGCACTTCATCACTGGCCCTGTGGGCAATGGCATATCAATAAGATAGGCACACAAGACTGAGAAAGCCAGTGTTTTATGAGAGTGAAATAAAACTTCCCAAATTCTATGCTTGTATGCATGGAAATAAAGGTTGTATATATTACTTTGGAAATGAATGAATGCATTTGCAGGGTTGATTCAGACCAAAAATGGAAAATGTGATGAGACAAGGACAAGAGCTAGACCCAGTGTCCCCCAGAGGTGGAAGAAGCCCTTTCTCATTATTAACATGGACAGTGAAAAACAACAATCCCTTTCTGCAGCTTGAAAGCATTGGAAATAATAGGTTAAAAACCACTTACAATGTTTGGATGTGAGAGGCGAAGAAGAACTCCTATCTCAGTTCTTACGATTTTTTTGTCCACCTAAAAGGCAAAATAAAAAAGAGATAAACTGAAAGAAAGTCCCACCTTAGAAAAATCTTCATTGTAACAGAGATCAGAAACAGCATTAACCCCCTGGGTGAATCAGACAAGGGGAGAAGTTAATCCCTAGGAATTTTGCTTATGTCTCTTTCCTCCCTTTCTTTTTCAGCTGCATGCCCCACCTTTCTGCTTCAGATGTAAATTAGAGCTGGTGACTAACAGGGACCACAACTTGTCAGACCTCTTTCTTGTCATCTTCCTGCCTTTCTTGTTAAAAGTTGTCATCATCACTATTACCGTATGGCACAAGTTCCTCTCAACCTATCCTTCCTCCTTCTCTTCCTTTTTCATTCATAGATGTTTCTGGCTCATACCTAAAGGAACTGTCAATCACTTCTGCATTCCTCATACAAAGGTGGCACATATTCACACCTAGCCAACCAGAAACTCCGTTCCCTGGCCATGTGGTGATGGCATCAAAGACATTCAGCTGGCCCAAGTCATTCCAGAAGGTCCTATCCAGAAATTGTGCTTAAATAATCAAGAATGAGGTATTCTCTTTCTCTCTGAAATGATGAGACCAAAGACTGTGCATCTATCATGACCATTTTTTACATCATATGGAGTTCACTGCATTGAACATGAAGCCAACAAGGAAAAAAGAAAGTTTGGTGAGATGTGAAGAAAGAGTACTCTTCATATAATGTAATTCCTAGTGTTCATTTATAGTTTGTCCTTTGAACTTCCTAATTATATGAGCCACTAAATTTCCTTTTTTATGATTTTCAGTTTCTATTGCTGGTCATTAAAGAACCCTAGATGGTTTACCATTTGATCTCAGTGTTGGGGATAATGACCATTTAATTTACAATATTCAAAATTAGGAATGTTTTCCCCTCTCTAGGTCCATGATTAACTTTTCTTCATCACAATGAGTATTTTGGTTCTCTAAAAGTCATATGCAGACAGAAGGGTTGAGCATACTCTTCTCCCAGCAAAAATCCTAAATATACAAATACACACACATACATACACATTTACACATATCCTATACCCTTACTGTGGTTTCTGCAATATGAGCTGTCCATATTGGATTGGCAGAGATCACATGGTTTAGAAATGAGTGTGAAGAAATTTATGTGCAATGTTAGCCAAACTGTGGGTATATCCAACAGCCTACTGAAGAATGGGTTCTACCCATTAAGTTACTTCTTCTGAGGAAGAAATGGTGGGCTTGAATAGAAACCCAATCCCATTTCAGTGGTGATAATTAATCACAACTTTCAAGAGGACGAACAACATCTATTAATTCAATTTTGTTCTCTAATGAAAATATTAACACAAATGGACACATTATTTGAAAATAAATAAAAATATTCAAAGAAGTGTGTTATAAGTTTCATGTGTTTTTTTCCTCAGTTGATAGTCTTGGTAAAGCCTCTTAAACTATTAAAAAAAAGTCTTGATCATGAATGTGATCATTTAGAAAACTCAGGGTATTCTTTTGGGGGGGGGACACCAGGGATTGCATTCAGGAGTACTTGGCCACTAAGCCACATCCCCAGCTCTATATTTTGTATTTTATTTAGAGACAGGGTCTCACTGAGTTGCTTAATGCCTCACTTTTGCTGAGTCTGGCGTTGAACTTTTGATTCTCCTGCCTCAGCCTCTGGAGCCACTCGAATTATAAGTGTGCATCACCATACCAAGCAAGCTCGGGGTATTCTAACATGTTCGTGCCTGAGAAAATTAGACTAAAAGTAAATTTATAATTTATTTGTAAACAAAACAAAATGTATTCTACTTATGTAAAATGGAAGCCAGTCTGTGCAATCTAACATACTTCTTAAAATGTGCATGAACAACCCATATAAAAATGCAGCATCAGATATAAATTCTGACTGAAAAGAGGGGATGAAGATTTGATCTGTCCATTTTAATACTTGACAGCTAATCTAGACAGTTACATGTGAGGACAGATTCACTATGAGTAGAGAAAAACAAGTTGGTAAGAAATAACCTAACTCAAATGACTGTACCTCACATTGACATATTCTGGGCTTTCATAATGAAGAAATATAGAAAGACACATATTTTGATACATCCAGTACTCTGAGACTCAAAAACTTTGGAAGCTGTTTCACCAGTCTTCCCCAGATACTAAAGTGTAGCTACTTTTCTGGACAACTCATACTATAGGATTCAGACAGGCTGTGTATTGATTAAAAATTTTTCAATGGCAAGTAACTAATACTTAAGTTTGAATTTGCTTAAGCTAAAAGGTGACTTATTGGGACACTCATATACAATTATCTAAAGATATAAAAAGGTACGGTTAAATCCAGAGGTTCTGGTTTGGGGTATCTCTTCTTGCCACCCACCCTATATTGGTGTCTTGTGTGTCTTCCTCTTTTTTTCTAAATAGTAGGAAATGTGACCACAGAAGTTCCAAGTCTATATTCTTCAGTCTCATATCAAAGGGAAGAGAGGCCTCTCTTTCTACATCTATATGCTAATGTCAAGTAGTATTCTCATTGGCCTTGCTTGTTTTCTATGCCTACTCCTAGGGAATGTGTAACTATGAGAAGACTGAGCATGGGTCATGGGCTCTCCCCTTTGAGCAGAATGGAGAGGGATGGGGAGGGTTGATTCTCAGGAAAAAGGATGTTGGCAAGCAATGAATGCTCCCTTATTGATTGCTTTCAATATTTGATCCCTCTCTTTTACATTTGCAGAAAATCCTGAAGTATTACCTATTCTTCTTCCATTTCCCAGGTTAATAAATAAATTATTAATACTTAAGTTATAATAAGCACTAATATCAGTAGATTTAATATTCCATTGTTTGACCATTTAGCAGTAATCCACATGGGGTTACAAAAGTGATCTAGGATTTTGTTCCCAGAAACATTTTTTAATCCATACTGAAAAAACTGATTTAAGGCAATTGCATAGCTGCTGAATGAACCTAGCAGATTATGGAGCATCTGTACCTGGAGTCCAATGGGTTATTCTCTACTTCTGGGCAGTAACTTTGTCAACTATTTTGATGTTACTGGTGATATAAATTGGAGGTAACTAAAGCAATCTAGAAAAATGATGACTCTAGCCAATGTGAAAGGTTGGAGCTGAAATTTGGATGAAGCAGTTCCTGAAGCTGTATGCTTTGGGGAACAGAAGACAATCCACAGTTTTTGTCATATTCTCAAAACTTGAAACAGAAAGAAAAAGTGACCTAAAAAAAAAAAAAAACACAGGAAAATAGGGCTGGGGATATAGCTCAGTTGATAAGTGCTCACCTCACATGTACAAGACCCTGGGTTTGGTCCCCAGCACCACAAAAACAAACAAGAAAAAACAAAAAGACAAAGACTAGAAAATGTGGTCCATGTAACTGGAGGAGTCAAGGATCTCTGAATTCACTTTTTAAAATGTGTCTGTAAGGAACACATGGTGCATAGTAAGAGTCTCATATAGGTTTTATCTGCACCTCCATTTTATACTCTGTGGGATATATGAAAACAAACAAATCAAATAAGGTCTCTCGCACAGAAATGTTACAATCTCATTTGTGAGATAAGATTTATCTACATAATGCCATCTGAAGGTAGTGAAAGACAGTAAAGAAAGACTAAGTTTTGCTTTAAAAGTTGCATTGTTCAGTGGAAGATCATTTTCTATGAATTGCTAATATTTAAAGGAGGTTTATTCTAAAAGACTTTGACATCACTATCCATTTAAAACCCACACTGTTGTCAATATGAAATGAAGACTGAACTGTTAAGAGCCTGCACGGGGATTGTGTGATATGTGGGTTGCTGATAGCCAATGAGTGACATCAGACAGCCCAATCCACAGGACAGCATGGTCCAGGAGGGAGCCAAATGATGGAACAAGACTGTGAAAGCTCACTGACTTTGTGAGGAAAAAAAAAAATGGTGAAAAATTTCCATTGATAAATAGATGTTCCACTTTTATAAAGGAGAGATCTTTGAATAACAGAAGCATTGCCAAAAAACCCGGATCACATTAATAAATCTCTTCCAAAGAACTCTTGCCTCACTTTTTGTTTCAATTTTGGCAGATGCTGTTGAAGAAAATTCTGATACAGATTATTATTTTTGAAAAATCTTAGTGTATATTTAAAGTATACAGCATGACATTATAAGATATAGTACAAAAGTTATTAAAGCGAAGCAAATTAATACATGAATCATTTACGTAATCATCCATTTTTTTTTGTTTTTGTGGCCGTTGCAGCTAAAATTTACTTCTGTAGCATGAATCCCATATACAGTACATTTTTGCTACCTATAATGATCATGTTGTACTTTAAATCTCCAAAATGTTTAACTCTGTGATGCAAATTATTTTTATCTAATTGTCTCTTCAGGTTGATGGTGATTTTTGGTATTAGGATCTATTTTTCTGCCTGTACATTTAGGGATTATGAAATTTAAGGTTGTCCCTCTTATTGTCATATATTTCTGAAGAATGTAAATGATAACAGAGGGAACCTTGAAATTTTTCACAAGATTTTTTTTATGTTCAATAAATATTTTTCCAACACAAATATAAATTTCATTTTTATTTTAATGTTATGCAGAATATATTACATATTAGCATGTCTTTCTCTTTTAATTCTCTGAGAGTTAAATTATATGAATTCCAGAAATATTCAGAATAGGTTGGATTGCAAAAAGTCTAGAATAGCAATCTTCTAGTATGATCACTTGTTTTGAATTCAGAGTTAACTTTTCTTTAAAAACTAAAATTTTGAAAAGGGTATTGACTTTCCCAGTATACTTTATACTATTATTTCTCAACTCAAAATGTGGTCTCAGGGGCCTGGAAGGACCTTCTAGGAACTGTGAAATCCTCTGCTTTCCAATTTCGTACCTAAGTAAGTTCAGATTGTGTCATATGGCACAAACAAAACAATGAATCACAAGAAATTGAAATGCAGAAACAGCCGAATTCAATTTGTCTTGGATTAAGCC